TACGTAGTAGTGACTTACGTCCTAGCTACAAAATAGAACCGAAAAATATCGTGGATAGTCAGGGACGAGCTTTGCTTAGTCTTTGGCTTTGGGGGGGTTGCTCGCTTTCCCTTATATGAGCAGGATCTCAGGCAGCCGCCGCCGCTGCCGTCGTTACCTGTTGTTGCCTGCCTGTCGAGACTCTAATATCTTTGCATTCAGCCTTCTGGCTTCTACAATCAACCTTGCCGTGATTTAACTAGAGACCTTGAGTATGATGCGGCTATGAAATGGCAGGATAGTACTTGCTAAAATAGGAAGTATCCAGGTACTTAGTGTACTAGTAAAGAGCACACCGGCTATGTTGTCCTGATCCACCCGGTTTGGCCGACCGACATATTATACAGTCTCTCAGGAAAAGTGATCTACAGGGCTTATCTGAAAGAAGGAAAAGTTAGAAGATTGTAATCGGTGATACGGTATATTCAGTGTCTTCGCTATGCTGACATGTGCTTGACCATTCGAAGGAGACGGGGAAATGAGGGATGTACAGAGGGCCAAATCTTCATTGCTAAACCCTGTACGCAGATGACATAACGACAAATATATCCAAGCCGTCTACTATCACGAACATCCCCAGTGTCTAAACGTCTAACCAAAATGAAAGACCCCTCAGCAACCTCCGATATTTTGCTCCATCCCCATCTGCGCGACTGTCCATTCCAAGACGCTCTCATAACACAGAACAAACTGGCTCAAATTTTGCACCATGCTTGGCCTCTGTGTTCGAAAGTCGTCTACCGTTCTTTCGATGAGATCCACGTTGTCGGTCTGAGACCATTGGTTCGTATTCCCACCTGAGGCATGCGCTGCACTGCGTTGTCGTTTCAACATGTCCAGCACGCTATCCACTGTGCAGAATGTCCCAGTACGGCCACATCCTGCGCTGCAATGCACTAATACCGGCCTTGAGTCTGCGCGTCCATCGCAAGGACCAGAATGTGATCCAGCTGTTGCTGCTGTAACTTTATCACACTGCTCGATAAGTTTAAGAAGGTGTGCAGGTTGAGATGTGGTCCCGAAATCAGGCCAATGGGGATATTGTAGCTGCGTTACTTCGCGCAAGGGTTGGAATGGAAATGATGAGTGCGACAAGCCAAAATGCCTGACAATGATATAGGGATTGCCAGAATCTTCCGGCTTGTCTAGCTCCATATCAGTTGGCTGCGGATCTTGAGCATCCAAATAAATGAATTTCTGAGAAAAGTTGTTGACCTGACAAGGCCCATAATTGCCAGATTCCCAGTAAGGGTGGCATTTGACCTGTCCACGTTCAACTTCGGCAGTCAAAGAAACCACCAGGCGGACATCCTGTTCCCAAACAACGCGCCAAAAGTCCTGTGACACGAATGAGCATTTGACACGTGAAGATGTGCGTTATCCCATGAAAGGCATATACGTGGTAGTAATCTCATGGGAAAGGGACCCAGACTTACATTGAATGTATCAGGTACGGGTGCTTGGGTAGCTATGTAATGTTTACCACTATAAGCTGCTTTCATGTGATTTGCGTTCACATAGTCGCAGCCTCCGGGTGACACATTCTGCAACCTCACTCTGGAATGATCGAATGGGTAAATGTCGTTATATCTATTCTTGGTGCCTTTCTCAATTCCCGCCACGCGAAATTTTTGCGAAGAGTCATCTATTGTAGCGGCATCGGCAGACTTCTCGTAAGACAATGCCTTTTTCATACGCTCCAGCTCCTTCTTCTCCAGACCCAGAAACTTTTCTGAAACTTTGCGGCCTTTATCTGAGGACTCCGACACTTCGCGCAGCCAAGGAGGGAGTAAGCGTTTCTTGGATTCTGAAAAACTGTGGGGTACTTGAAGAGGGATCTGACCGACACCGCCAATGAGATCCATGTGTTGCCGTATGTTTCCAAAGAAAGGTATCGCAGCATGGGAGGACTCGGGAAGAGCACAGCCGCCTGCGACAGGGGCGACACTTGGAAGATCAATATGCATTCGAGACGGTCTTCCCGCGGTTGGGTCGGATACTGGAGCTTGCTGTCCTTGAATGAAAGTGGGAAAGCGGGATGAAAAGGCTTTGAAGCCCCCAAGCAATATTAATCCCTCACCGCTCCACCCTTCTGCAGTAAACTTTTTGAGAACATTCATCAGCGGACTGGCGTCTTTCATGTCAGATGTGGCAGCATCGTAGACTATTATGTAACGACATCTCCTCCAACCCGCGAAGCTCGCTTTGTCAGATTCGTTCGTGAACGTATTCGTCAATTTTTGCGTGTCGAAGGATGGTCGCTTTAGAAGGGTTGTCGGAATACACAGGTTCAACGATCCTCTAATAGACCCCTTCGCGAAATGCGCGTAAGGCCTCACATCCAACAGCATGATATCCCGATGAGAGGACTCGAGAAGCTCCGCGCAGCGCTCAACCGAAACGCCACATCCGTGGGTAGACGTCTGCCTCAAAGGAGATGCATCCTGTCGGGAAGGTATCGGACTCCGTCTCTGTAGGCTAGGATTCCAGGAAAGCCGAAATACCGGTGATTCTCTGTGTTCGTCATCGCCCACTACCCCGGTCTTCGGCAGGCCCACATAATCCTCAAACGCTTTATTTTTGGATAAGAGCTGTGCTTTGGGACTAGAAACCGGGGGCTGAGTGTATGATATCGCATCCCGGCTTCTCCTTGGATTACCAGGGCTTTCCACGCTAATAGAAAAGTAATTGGGACCCGAGCGTTCTGATACTGAGTTGTGAGGGTTGATACCGTGTCCCAGAGGAGACATTTGAGATTCACGCAATGTGAAAAGGGCCGATGGAGTAGAGGAACCCTCGAGCTGCAGGTTTTGACACTCCGGGGGCCAAGGAGACGTAGGTGATCTTGTACCTGTCATGGCCGACATGACGTTCAAACTCTCAAGCAAATATCAGTGCCTTCCTTCTGCTTCCCAGCTTATTAGATGACAGGTCGACGTTCAAACAGTCATTGCCATAGCGCGATGAATATAATCTCCGGATTTGAAGAACAATCTCAGAAACCGTGAGCAATTTTAATTTCTCCGACAACTGGCGGGGAGAAAACACTGCTTTTCCATAAAGTATACACACTGGTCTGTCTCAGTCTGTCAACAGAAGTCCAGTGGCTACTCATCGAAAGCGTAGGTACTAAGCTTGAACGAGAACGTACGCTTCTGAAGGAACCCGTCGTCAACCTGTCTTCGAGGGGTCGGGCTGAGATGAGGGTCTGAACGGGTAAATGCGGAGGGGCAAATACAGAGATAGCTGGAGGCGATGGTGGCCACACTGCGTAATCGGCCTGGTGAAATGCAAAATCTCAAAGGATTCAGATGAGATAGTGGTGTCCTACTGTGAAGGAATGTAATGATTTCGCGGGTAAAAGCACTTAGTGATGAAGAACCTAAGTGACCGATATACCGAAAGGCATGAGGAGTCGTGCTCTCCTGACCAAAGCCGCAGTTGCAGGATTCCACGTCTCACTCAAGGGGCCCAAAACTCGTACTTCCAGCAGAGCAGAATTCTAAACCAATGGAGGACTTGAGGGGAGGAAAGTGGGGGACACAGGGATATGACTGATATCACTGATCCACAGCCATCATTCAAGCACGTAGGGGGAATCGGGGGCCAACAACCGAGAAGGCTGCGTGGAAGAGCGAATGGGCTGGTGAGAAAACCGGAGGGAACGACGTCGTTCTCTGGATATGACGTTATGGGTTGGTGGCAGAGGCTCGGGAAGCGGCAAAGTGTGCAGAGCCACTCGTTACCCACGCAGCAGCGGCCGGTCTTGATCATTCAGAGCCACCAGGAACCGGGAAGGGTGTGGCGAGTCCATCATAACCCCCCCCCCCCTCCCCTACACTCATTATTCCCCCCCAAAGCCATCCAAAGGGCGCAACAGGAAGGCGAGACTTTCTCATAAGAACAATGATTGAATTCAAAAACGAAGCACACAGGAATAAATGTGTAGAGATTTGGAAGAGGCTCCATATCGGTGACACACAGATGCTTCAATTTGCGAAAGTGCTTCCCTTGTCCTTTATTCAATTTTATTCAATTACCCCCTGACTCCAAGCATTTCTTTGATGATGGAAGGGACCTAGTTTCCTCCCCCACATCCGCGTAAACTCCCACGACAGTCTAAGTCGTGTCAAATTCGTAGGCGTAGCGCGACTACACACTAACAGGTGGCAACAATACCTTGACAATGCAGCCGGCTGACTTGGCTCTAGTTGCTACTCTCCATCGCAGAATAGACGAAATACATAGTACATAGTGGGGGTCATATACGTAAGGTTACTACTAGCTGCCTAAGGCTACCTTAGCTGGGAGACGCGTGACCTCCTGTAGGTGGGCTTGTGCCTAATAATGGAAAGAGTAAGGTGTAGTTTATGCGTAACAATGCTGACCTTGATGCTGTGCACGATTTCAACCCAAAGATTGGGAGGATAGGCCAGTGATTCAGCTTGGATCTTTCTCGCATATTCATCCGGGGGGGGGTAAGGAATATCCAGGAATCGCTTCTTGTCAATCATGAGTAGTTGCTGGCTGGACATGCTTCGTTTAGTATGGAACAAGTGAGACATTAGTAGTAGAAAACAAGTAGGTGCTTGTGGTGTACAACTAAGACTAAAATACTTACTAAAATACATGAATTCGTACCAGCGTCTGCTGCTCCGAGGCGAAACCGCAGATAGCACCAACAAGGCAGCATGATATAGAACCTCCATAGTCTGGCCCTTGGAAGGAATACTTGTCGACTCTATAAGAAGGTTTCGATATCAGTGACGTTCAACAACTTCACATTGCAAACGCGTGACAATAGTTGTCATTACATACCAATGTGCGACCATAGGTAAGACTGAGCTACATCGGGCTTTTTAAGGGTGTTAAAAGGAAACAGGAGGTCGCATTTATGTGGCTATCACCAAAGAGTGATTCACATCGACTCAACCCCAATATGGAAGCAAACGTGGCGCATCTCAAAGTTTTCCATCAGGCTCGCCTTTGAAGCGTTGTACTCTTTTTTGCTCCCAATCATCAAGATCTTTGGCCATAAGCCGCTGTAGCAATGGTACCAGGTTAGCTGCTATCCCACATTATAAACTATATTACGCAGATCTTGCTTGACCGATAGACATGTATACTGACATAGTATTCCTCTCTTTCGTCGCCAATAATTCGTCGCCGTGGATTCCGCTTGATGCCCTCATCACCATCGGGCCCTTTGAGGCCTAGGTTGATCGCTTCCTCTTGACTTAACTGTTTAACTTTGCGATCGTGCCGCTCGTACCTCAGAGCGGCGGCGGGTGTTAAAGCAAAAGACCCAGCAACTATTATCATAATGAAAGGAAGGCCGAAGAGTAGAAATGGGCGTTTAGTTAGATGAGCCCGGTAAGCCGCGCCGATTCGTTCTCCGAGAGTAGACGTTGCTGTTGTTGCGCGTCGAAACGTCTTGGCCTGGAATACCGGCATTGTGTAGCTGCACGTCAGGCCTGCTCCCCTGGGATGGAATTGGTTATGCTAATTAATGTGCTGCGCCAAACACGCGCCAATACTTGATAGCGACTACCCAGAGTTGGAAGGTGAATAGCAAAATGATGTGAGGGAAAGCGGTCAATCACTAGAACATTGCAGAGATGATCTCCGGTAGGCCCGACAAAGCTCGGCAAAAAAGTAAGTCCGACATACCTACGGAATCTCCGACTGCACGCCAAAACAGTTTATCAACCGACTTGTCGAATCGCAAACCGAGCGAAGACAGTATCAGGGTCGATCTCAAAAGGGTGTCATATTCATCTCTTCTTAATTTACTGACAGTGAGGCGCAATTCTCCAATTTTGCTTTAACAACAATTATGCTTATAATATTCATTTGGATAGCAATTACAGTGGACGTTCCGAGACTGCTGGATAAACACAGACAGCATTACCCCCATATCCTCTAATGACCTCCACGAACACCGGCTCCCTCTTTGGAGGGGGTGGCCTAGGAGCTGCTACGCAACCACCAAGTCTCTTTGGGAATCCATCTGGGACGCCGGGCCTTACAGGTGGAACAAGTTTCGCAAAGCCGTCGCAAGCGCAACAGCAGCCTACTTCGAGCTCGGTCTTTGCACAAGATCAGGCACAAGCCAATGCAGCGCCACCGTCCACTCAGACGACCCAGCCTGCTTTTTTCAACAGTCTACTAGAACGCGGGAAAAAAAGACCAATCTCTGCAATTGCTCAAAACGGCAATTTCGAGGAGCTGCCGAGTCTTCAATTGGGTCTTGACGACATTCGCAGAAAAGCTAGGGAACTTGGTGCTGGTGGCTCAAAAGAATTTCAACCTCATGTACCACACAGCAAAGCGTAAGTTAAACCTCCTTCTGCTTCTGATCTTGTCGGCTGATATTCTATTAAACCAGCCATTATCTGCTCGCGGCTTCAGGTGTATCCCCTGGCCACGCCTTGCGGGACCTGAAGGCTTTGGACCCTCAGGCATCTGTATCGACACCACTGAGAGAACAAGATTCTTTTGACCCAGACAACCAGAAATTTTTGAAGAACATACAACAACGTGGTCGTCAAGTGATGATCAATGAGAGCCTTGCTCGAACCCAGAAAGATTTTGACTCATTCTTGGAAGAGAAGGTTGACATGGACTGGGAGGAACAGCGCCGGAAGATATTTCAGCACTTCGGGCTAGCGCAAAAAGACGATGGCGCTGGCGATACAAGAGGTAGCTTTGGACGCACGGTGCGGCGACCTAAACAGTTCGGCCCTGCATCCACAAATGGCCCTACGTCTTCAGGTCGGCGAAGTGTGTTCGGACGCTCCGCTCTAGAAAAATCCGTCATCGGGACCCCAGGAACAGGGACAGCAAGCCTCCGACTTTTCGAAGATTCTACGGAACGCAATGAGGGTGCGGGCGGTCACTCTGATCTTCGCTTCTTACGAGAAAAAATGGGCTACTATGCAGACAAGGTCCGGCAACTGAACTCTGCTAGGCTACAGACTAGAGCTTTCCCGATCCTTCATGAGTTCTCCGATGTTGAAGGGCATGCTGGCGGCGATGTAAGTTTCCTAAACAAAGCTCCGTACGCGGTTGACTGACTCTACCAGGTACCTCGACAATTGTACGATGCTTATAGAGCTCTGATAAGCATTGTTGGGGAGTCTCCAGATGCCACCACTATGAATGATCCCTCAGCTCTCGTGGAACGTCAGTTTGCCCAAGATTACTTGGATGAGAGCCCAAATTCGCGCAGAGCAGTAAGTCTGAGAAAACGGATTGTTGAGGGCTCTAGGTCTTTTCTTGAAAAGCTCTTTTACGACGAGGTTGAAAGTGTGATTACCAAAAACCCTCGGGAGGCGCAACTCGGTGGCATACCAACTGTGACCAATAAGATTCGTGCCTATATTCGGCTCAGAGCAGCACGGAAAGACCTTGCTCCTGATGGTACGGAGTTGCAGATGGTTGGCCAGGATTATTGCTGGATTCTTATTTTCTACCTCCTTCGCTGTGGTTTCGTTACCGAAGCTGCAGAATACGTGAGCCAGGATCCCGGCTTTAGGTCTCTAGATCACAAATTTGTGACATATATGACTACATATGCGCAGAATCGACGGTTGCCTAGAGATCTGCAACAAAAGATCAACGGCGAATATCAACAACGGTCTCGCAATGCGCCTGATAACACAGTTGATCCGTACCGTATGGCTTGCTACAAAATCATTGGACGTTGTGAACTTGGCCGCAGGCGTTTAGACGGTATAAATCAAAGTGTTGAAGACTGGATGTGGTTACAGTTCAGTATGGCTAGGGAAGATGATAGAGCGGAGGAGATTGCCGGCGACGTCTTTGGACTCGAAGACATTCAAACTGACATCACGGAGATCGGTCAGCGAGTATTCGGAAAAGGCCAAGAGGGGCCCGGAGGCTATGGAACCTTTTTCTTCCTGCAAATCTTGGGAGGAATGTTCGAGCAAGCTGTTTCATACCTCGGTTCTTATGCTCCAATCACAGCTGTGCACTTTGCCATCGCCTTGGCATATTATGGTGTCTTGCGCGTCTCAGACTTTTACACGTCAGGCGAAGAGATATGTGAGTGGAAACCCGATATGCCGTGATAAATGCTATAGGAAAGACTAACAGCCACAGTGTCCTTTACTGTGAAGCAATACCCACAGATTAATTTCGGCTATCTAATCACGCAATACACGAGAGAATTCCGGACGGGATATGTGGAAGCGGCAATTGATTACTTTACGCTGTTATGCCTCAACGCCGACCTGCCCGGAGCTCTTGGTAAATCCCAAGCTTCTGTGTGCCACGAAGCATTACGGGAATTTATCCTCGAGACCAGGGACTTTGCTAAATTGCTGGGCGACATCAGGTCAGATGGAAGCAGAATCAAGGGACTAATTGAACAACGTATTAGCTTGATCAAACTGGTCGATCAAGATGAGTTCCTCAAGACGATCACTCTGCAAGCAGCAGCTATCGCCGATGACAAGGGCCTTATAACGGATGCGGTCCTGTTGTATCATCTTGCCGAGGACTATGACCGCGTCATTGATATCATCAATCGAGCGCTATCTGACGCCGTTGCTGTAGAATTGGGCGGACCCGCCCTGAAATTGCAGCCTTTGAGGCCACGGACCGATGAACATGAACTGGAGGCCGGTGGCAGTCTCAGCTTAACAACCGTGGATAATCCCGTTATTCTGGCAAGGAATATGATCGGGTTGTATAACGCAAATGCGATGTACTACCAACGAATCCGGCAAGTCAATCGCGATGCATGCGGATTGTTGCTTAGGATGATGGAGGCTAAGGTGGAGGTGGAGGCAGCAAAATGGACGCCGGCTTTGGATGTAGGTTGATCCTTCTACTCGTGTTGACAGGTATCGACCAAACTAACGGGTTCAATCTAGGCTATCAATGATCTGAGTATTCTTCCATTGCGAGCCCGAGGCTCCGTTCCCTACATTAGGAGTGCTGCCCAAGCCTTCTCGTCCTTCCCGCCAATAATCTCCCATAATGTCGGCCATGTGATCATGTGGTGTATCACATGTATTGGTCACGAAAGGGAACGGCTGAACTCTGGTACATATGAGAACGAGATTAGGCAGGGACTGGCGGATGAGTTGCTCGTCATGGCCAAGGATTTGATGATTTTCTCGGGGATGGTCAAATACAAGCTGCCGCCGAAAGTATATGAGACGCTGGCGCGAGCTGGAGCAGAGATCGGCGCCTATTGAGAAGCCAGCCCAATAAGAGGTTGCTCCGGGCTTTAGCGCGTTCTTGACTGCTGTATTGGCTTGTACTGAAGTTAGATTCCACATGCAATTTATTTGTCGGCGACTGAGGTAGATGCTCCAATAAAAAAACATAATTGTTACTCTGTAGCATTCATTAGGTACCTAGACCATAGTTTGCAGCGCTGCATATTTACGACACGAAGTAATGAATAGTAGTTGTATAAAAAGGCGTTTGATTTCCGGCAAACGCGGGCGCTTTCCGCAAGAGAGGGTGCCAAGAGAACGTCGGCTGGATGACGGAGGGGGTTGACAGCACAAGGCCTAATCTGACCCTGAACACTTTCAGTCAAGGGAGAGCGCCTAGAAGTGAGTGGTTCGCACTAATAGACAGCAGGCGTCACGGATTTCCATGATAGCAGTCCAACAGGTGCATCGTTTCTGAGCCATGAATTGAGCAGGCTAGCTGCGGGGCCTTCTCGACCCGATATTGGACCACACCGTACGTCTCTCAAGCTGCCCTTGGTCTAGCCCCGAAAACTCCAATGTTCGACATGGAACATGACCGCCCAGACGCGTCTGATACGAGTACAAAATCATTAACGCCCGGTTCTGGGTCGGGCTCATCGCAAGAAGATGCTCCGAACCGTGCAAAAGATGGACTGGAAGAAGCTCCATTGAACGGGCGCATGGTGGCTTTCTACGAGAATGACAACAACCGCAACCACGATAATAATACAACGCCCGCCGACCTCATACCCCACGATGCGGTTCTCGAAACCGACCACTTCTCTGGGAATGCGACGGAGTGTGCAAGACCAGAGGGATTGGATATACAAGGACCCGTGCAGATAGGAAGCGACCACAACTCCGCGAGCGACGATATCCCTAGAGAAGCAGAGGTCGACGATCCCAGCTGTGACTCCCGGTCAAGAGAATCAAGCTCGGCCACAAATCACAATCTCATCAATAATCCCCCCAATCTTGCAAGGATACGCCAAGTGATGTTCGAGTGCAAGGATCCCATAGAGATTAGCTTGGAGGAATTTGAGACTTATTGGCCGTTTATCGACAATGTATGGGTCAAACAGAGGTCTAATTCCAGCAAAGAAGGGCATTGCACTACGGACTATTATATGTGTCGTTTGCGACGCCCCACTCATCGTACGTCAGAAACTCGTCCTCTTCCTGAGGGCAAACGCCCCCGAAAGAAAAGGGTACGAGAGGGTGGTATCTGCAACTTCCAGATCAAAGTTGTCAAGTTCGAAGGAGCATATTCGACGGTGACAATAGCGAGAACTCCAGGGAGCAGTCGGGTACACTCACATGACCTTGATTATATTGACCGAGTGAAGCGAAATTCTGGACTAATGGAGTTTGCGCGAAGGGAAGCAATCAAGGGGTATCTGCCTTCCTCAATCTTCACGAAGTTCCAAGAAGAACCTGAAAAGCTCGTTGAAGCTGGGGGCAAGTTCTGTACAGTGACGGACGTGCGCAATGTCTCGGCGAAGTGGAGGATACAGAACCCCGACGTTAAACTTGTGGCGCATGAAGGCTATGAATATCATAAGGGTCACGGCATCGTAAGGATGCGAGCGGCTGATGGTATCAGCAATACCCCGGGCGACAAGTTACTCTCGAATACAGCCATACACGCACCTTTGCCCCCGGATACGCTTTCCTTCCCTCGGTTCCCTTTAGATTTTCTTGAGCCTTATCTCCCAAAGCACAATGACCGACGCCAGTTCCCTCATGTCACTCTGTCCTATGCATCGTCGATGGACTCTAAGATATCACTCCTGCCGGGCATGCAAACTGTGCTATCCGGGCCAGAGGCTAAATTGATGACCCACTATCTCAGGTCACGTCATGACGCGATCCTCATCGGGGTTGGAACAGTGCTTGCAGACAACCCCGGGCTAAACTGTAGGCTGGAAGGTGCAGGTGGGTTCGGTGGCCTTGGAAGGATGTGGCAGCCGCGGCCAGTGGTAGTCGATCCCACAGGGCGATGGCCTGTACATCCAGACTGCCGAATGCTGAGGACTGCAGTAGAAGGGAAAGGCAAGGCGCCGTGGGTAGTGGTATCCCCAGGAGCCAGGATTGACCCACAAAAGTTGATGATGCTGAAGGGCTACGGGGGCGATTATCTCCGCATCATGGAGTACAATCAGAACTGGCGGCTGCGCTGGGAAGCCATACTACGTGCGCTGGCATCTGAGGGGATCAAAAGCGTCATGATCGAAGGCGGCGGGACCGTTTTGAGTGAGCTTTTGAACCCCGAATACACCGAATTTATTGATACTATCATTGTTACTGTCGCTCCAACCTATCTTGGCTCCGGTGGAGTAAGTGTGAGCCCAGATTCCAAGCGGGATCAAGAAGGCAAGCCAAACGCTGCTCTGAATCCTAGGGACGTGAAATGGATGCCCTTGGGTCAGAATGTTATAATGTGTGGAAGAATCCGGGTGTCGCCCCCTACTGAGTCCCCTACTACTACTACTACTACTACTACCAATGCCGAGTCGTAAAACACACCATTGTTGCCGAGAACAGAGTGGATCCCCCAAATCCAAAGGTGGCTGTCAGCGAAGTCACGATGCATCGATGTTTTACAAGAACAGTTGGGGGACCGTCTACTGCTACATATGGCAGCTTGGCGAGAGATAGCAGTCCCTACTAGTACTAGTAGTCAAGAATGCCTGAGCAATGGAAGAAGTTGAGCCCTCGGAAATGATCAACTTCATGCAGGCATTCATTCCCAGGCCGGTACTATAGCTCATTTTGTACTCAAGGGCACCAAAATAAGATAGTATATTCAATAAAGATTTGGGGAGAGGGGGGGGAAACAAAGAAAAAAAAACAAAGAACCGTCCCTAGGATGTGAATGACCAAAAAACTCTTCTAGCCAAACATATAAATACTGCTAGGCGTCTTTCTTCTGAGTTGGTGTGTTCAGAGAACGGTGTTCTTTGTTTAACGGGTGCCATTGTTCTTTAGTGTTGCTCTGAAATAAGATCGCAAAAACACAACAACAATAACAACAATAACACCAGAGCTCTTATCGCGTGGGCGCATTCCCCACCCTTTCTTGTACCTTTTTCTTTTCAATCGTCCAGCGCCTCTTCGGTGGCTTTCCTCTTCCCCACTTCCCTCCATCTCCTTTCGTTTTTAACAGCTCATAACCTGGGTCGCTGGTGAACCCTTTACTTTTTCCAACTCCCTAAGCCCCTGATACGCTTCCGGTGTACCACTGCAACGGCCAATCTGCCAAGACATAGTTGTTAATCTGACAGCGACTATGCCGCCCAAGAAAAGCGCACCCAAGCCGGCTGCGGCATCAGCTGCGGCGGCAAAGGTTAAACAAGCCACAGCAACTACAACTACTACGACGAAGGCAGCTACGAAGGCATCCACCAAAACAACAACGAAAGCGAAGAAGACAACCGCCACGACCAGTACTGCTCGCAAAGCTCCAACTGACAAGCGAGAGGCCCCTGCGAAGCCCAAGAAGACCACCAAGAGACAAACCGCGAAATCTGCCACGGCTTCCAAGAAGGGTGGTGGAACGGACGACAACCTTGCAAGTAAGAAGCGTGAAGTTGAGCCTACGAAACGTGTAAAGCGGAAGGCGGAAGTTGTCGAAGAAGCTCCAGCTCGCGATGTGAAAAAGGCCCGCGTTGCTAAACCTCGGGTTACTAAACCGAAGCCGAAGGTGGTCATCAACCATGCGCCAACCACTCGACTAAATGTCTATGTGTGCGGCGAAGGCAGCTCTGGCGAGTTGGGCCTGGGATCTGCTAAGAATGCAGTTGACGTGAAGCGGCCTCGGTTGAATGCCAACTTGCCAGCGGACCGTGTCGGTGTTGTGCAGGTCGCTGTTGGTGGGATGCATTGCGTTGCGCTTACGTATGACAACAAGATCCTTACATGGGGCGTCAACGACCAAGGAGCACTTGGCAGAGATACTACTTGGGACGGAGGGTACAAAGATATCGACAAAGCCGACAATGAGTCAGACTCGGACTCCGATGATGACATTGCTTTAAATCCCCACGAATCAACTCCCACTGCTATTCCGTCAGAGGCTTTCCCCAAAGACACCGTCTTCGTTGAAGTTGCTGCTGGCGACAGCTCAAGTTTTGCCCTAACGGATGATGGCCAAGTATATGGTTGGGGAACATTCAGAGTAAGTCAAGCTTTGCATACCCTTGTAAACAGAACTGCTTAGGCTAAGAAATGAATTAGAGCAATGATGGTATCTTAGGTTTTGATGCCACCAATAAAGTCCAGCTTACGCCTAGTCTGATACCGTCTTTGAAGAAAATCAAACACCTGGCTTGTGGCGATAATCATGTCCTGGCACTGAACGAGAAAGGTGCTGTATTTTCATGGGGTTCGGGCCAGCAAAACCAACTGGGCCGTCGTATCATTGAGCGAAACAGATTGAACGGCCTGCAGCCGCGCGAGTTTGGCCTTCCGAAGAATGTTGTGCATATCGGCTGTGGTGCTTTTCACTCCTTCGCTGTTCATCAGTCCGGAGAGGTCTACGCATGGGGTTTGAACAGTTTCGGCGAAACGGGTATCAGGGCTGGTGCCGGTGACGATGAAGCTGCAATTGTGCATCCCACCGCCGTAGAGTCGCTATCTGGGAAAGCAGTTACACAGATCTGCGGCGGTGCCCATCATTCGCTTGCCATCGCTGATGATGGAGAGTGCCTTGTATGGGGGCGATTGGATGGCTACCAAACAGGTCTGAAAATTGACAGTCTACCCGAGGATGCGGTCATTAAGGACGAGCGCGGACGGCCTCGTATATTGATAGAGCCTAAAGCTGTCCCTGGAGTCAAGGCCAATACTGTTGCAGCCGGTTCAGACCATTCACTCGTCATTGATGTTGATGGCCGTCCTTGGTCGTGGGGATTCTCTGCCACCTATCAGACAGGTCAGGGTACACCGGATGACATTGAAATAGCGACTGTCATCGAGAATACTGCCGTTCGTGGTAAAAAGTTAAACTGGGCCGGCGGTGGTGGACAATTCTCCGTGTTCACTGAGCCTGCAGCATTAGCATAAACTAAAAGCTAGTGCCAGGGAAGAAATGGGAGATACAGCGGCACTTCAACATTCATCTTTAATGAGTCCGGCGCAATGGCATGTTCCATGAGCCTTATCAATCTTGTAGATTATGCTTTGACCAGTTGATAAACCATTGCAGACACGAGAGCGAAAGGAAAGGAGAAGAGAAGAGAAGAGGGCATATTATGGCGGTATCTGCTGAAGCATAGCAATTTCGATGATGTTTGTACTTATTATTTTACGGTGACTCAAAAGGTAGAGGGAAAGAGCAAGGGTAAAGGTGGTGGGGGGGTAGTAAATAAAAGGGCTGGTTAGACCGTGTCTGCGCAATGTGGAAATGATTAGTCCACGGTATGAAACATCGCTTGGTGCCCTAAGTGGTAGTATTGCTCGAAACATCAATGTTGTCTATGGAACCCAGGTTACCCATAGGCTTATTGCCTCAAGCCCATGCATCTGGTCCTGCCAGATTATTATCAATTATACCATCCTCATGCTCTCGAAGAAGTGCTTCCAGCTCATCATCATCATCATCATTATCATGAGTACCTTCTATGATCTCCCTTGGGACGTTCTCATCATCCGACACAAACAAATCTCCCTGCTGAGGAGCGTCTCCCAGCGTAAGTGAGGATGGCTTTCCAATGCCATGTGTTGGAGGCGTCCGTGCCACGCTATCTCCTTGGCCCATAATCGCGTCGGCTTCATTCAGATGCCCGATAGACATACTATTGTCATGGACATGTGGACCCGAGAACCCCGTTTGTTGCGCATCTTCAGAGTCGGTTGCGGGGAGTCTCGGCTTTTCCTCGTCTATCCATTCTCGTCGCATCGTCTGTAATCGTTTCGAATGACCCAGTTTTTCTATAATAGCCAATCCATCGGCAAACTTCGCGCGAGGGAACAAATCATCGAGCCATAGTTGGTAGAAATTCAAAAGTCGAGCGGCGTCCGAAAACTTTGAGAGACAGTTAGCTACGCAGTCGACCCTCAGCGACAGTACGAATCGGTTTCAGCAGACCTCATGTCCTTTCCCTTTAAATTTCAGTTTAGACTTCGCCGTAGAACGCAGTTTTGGTATGCCGGCTTGTGACAGTAATCTAGGAAGCAATAAGCGTTGTATTCAGAGCGCTCCCCCGGTTGTTTGTCTCACCGGCCCTCATCCAGCTTGACAGTCGATCGTCGCTGCTTAGTGATTGTGACCTTTTCATCCAAGCCTAATACAGGTGCAGCAATGGGTCCACCTCTGTTTGATTCCACAGCTATATCTTGCAATGTGCTCTCTAAGCCGGCATCATAATCGAACAATGCATCATCCTGGTCCATTGATGGGTTTGAGTAGCCCACATCTTTCTCCATCATCCAATGAACCTCCTGGTGACTTATGAAATAGTGAAAATGACGACCTTCTCAGAAAATTCGGTTATTGTTGACTGAACAAGTAGTACGCATACTTCGATAAAAGTCCGCAAATGACCATCTCGAACAGCTGTAAACGGATAGCGTTACGCGTCGCTCAAGACGCGTGCCAGGTTCTCAGCCAATTTGCCAGGAAAGGTAAGATCAGTACTACTGTAGGGTAGGCGGTCGGGTTAGCGTGACAACGGGTTACAACACCTTTTCAGCATAACTGCAACTATGCATTATTTAGGCTTTGTAATTATGAATACCTGCTAGTCTTCAATCGGTATAGCTTTGGGCTTGGCATAACTCCGTCCGACTTCCATCTCCATTGAAGCGGAAGCCAATCCAGAAACGTCCATTATAATTCATCCTCCACTGTCCCAGCCTGGCACAATGGCGACTGATCACAAATCAATTCTTGTTCCCCCAAAGCGGGCCAATACAGACTACCCGGTAGGGTTGATTATTCTCTATCCGAAATGGAGTTACGGATCTTGCGGCTAACTTTGGCTTTTGTAGCTAATTGACTCCGACCCGTATGGACCAGCTTGACGTTGCCATATTGCACTTGACTCACTTTTTAAACCAGGCACTTGAGACGAGTTTTCGGATATGCACGACCCTCTGACTACGCAGTGGGCGGCGGAATGGCCGCTGCGTCTCCTCTTGCGTTCTGGGTTATGGAAAGAGTGAGCCCTTCTCACGTTGGCAGGGGAGGGTTCGCTCCTGTTATGCGCCTAGCAACAGCCATTGGCCTTATTGGAGGTCTCCACGTGGTCTATCAGAGATCCTGCAGTCAGTGCAACCATGGAGCAGTTGTTTTGATCTACGCCCTTGTAGTACTAACGTTCTCGTGCAGACCGCTTCTATGGCTTTACGGAGAATTCGAGGGAAGCTGATATGGATATGAAGGAGATGGTGGACAAAGTCAAGAAAGGGGAATCCCTATACGGCACATCTAAAGTCTCTTCATACCTGCAAGGTGTTGCTGCTCGAAACTCTAGATACTCTGAGCTATTCATCCATGTTCTTCCATGGTTCAACCTTGTCAACCATGACCAGGTAAGTACAATGGAAGAGCGATCACCTTCCATACATAACCATCAGCGTCGGGTATCAAATTTGTTACTAACTGCAATACAAGCATGGCGTCGATACGGCCAAGTACTATCAGCAGGCCGAGCGGGAGCTGGAAGCCGAGCGGCTGAAGCAAGCTAGCTCCTAAATTTGTGACATGAAAGACGGTATAAGGATCGGCTCGTTAACGTTTCATTGGCTCTTGCGCGATATTGTATATTTAGTTCCTGAAACAACGCAAAACCTAAATGGAACCTTTTCCTCACTTCACCTTGATCGCTTCTACACGACATCGAAGATGCTTAGCCCTCAGCTTCCTTCATTGTGCGGCCG